AGCAGGGCGCTCCATATTTGTTACTGTACTTGCGCACGCGCCCCGCGTGCTCACAAGTGGGCCTCGGGGAGATTTGGCAGGGGAGGCGAGGAGGGCCGTCCCGCGGCTTTTCGCGGCCGGAGCCGCTGCGGATAGTTGATGGTTGGGTACGGGAAAGAGGATTGTAAGGATGATGAGGAGAAGGAGGGGTCGAGGACAAGGAGAATTATAATGAAGAGAAGGGGTCGAGGAGGACGAGGATAATGATGATGCTGATGATGATGATGATGAGGAGGAGGAGGAGGTGGTGGAGGAGTAAGTAGGATGAGGACTGAAGGAGGAGAATGATGAGGAAAAGGGGGCAATGAGGAGGGGGAGGAGGACGAGGAGGAGGAGGAGGGGGAGGAGGAGGATGATGAGGAGTGATGCGTGAGGAATGGGGACTGGGAAGGTGGAAACAATGATGAACAAGAGGAACGAGGATCATGATGAATGCTGCTGAGGGGGAGGCTGAGGCGGAGGAGGAGGTGGGAGCGGAGGATGATGCGGAGGATGAGGAGGGAAATTATACAGGAGCTCTGAGCAGGAGAAGGTGAAGCATGTATCGCAAGGGGCGATCAGGAGCGATCAGGAAAACACACCCTAACTGATGTTGCCACTGTCAATGACAGAAGTGTGCATCCATAAGGTCGACGGCGGAGGAGGTGTCTGTGATCATCGTCGTGAGGAGGACGACGAAGGAATTTCTCGACGCGTCGTGTATCCCCACCAGCTTGTGAGGGCGGGTTCTGGCTCTCCTTCTGAGTGGCTGCCCGCTGGCTCACTTCGCTTGCCTTTCTTTTCCTGCTGCCTAGTCGCGGCCCGACTAGTGTTCGGACGGCTTTCGACCCGCCTCGCGAGCCTGTTGACCAACGAGTATCCCCACCAGCCTGTCCAGAAACGATGGTCAGGCGAGTTGCCCTGATCAGGGTGTAACGAAGAAGGGGCAGCCGTCAAATCGAAGCTCGGGATCAGCCTGATCAGCTGACCCAGAATTTATCAGACATGCCTTCGCGTATTTTTCGACGGGGGCGTCTTGGCAGCTCAGTCTGGCCTTCTTGCTGGGGCCATTTCGGAGGCCCTTGGGGCTCTCTTGGCACCCTCTCAGGGCCCCCCTCGGGGCCCGCACGCTCAGGCCAGGCATGCCCACGGTGCCCCAAGCTTCTCCGCTCGGCGCGGCGGCCGTGGGCTCTTTACCCTCGCTTTGCTGGGGATCGAGCCGGCCTCGGCACCGAGGTCAGGGTCCGTCTGGATTGGTGGGCTGCCCATCCTCGGGTAGGACTATGAGGAGGCGGAGGAGGAGGAGGAGGAGGAGGAGGAGGAGGAGGAGGAGGAGGAGGAGGAGGAGGAGGACGAGGAGGAGGAGGAGGAGGAAAAGGAGGAGGAGGAGGAGGAGGAGAGAGGAGGAGGAGGAGGAGGAGGAGGAGGAGGAGGAGGAGGAGGAAGGGGCGGAGGAGGAGGAGAAGGAGGAGGAGGAGGAGGAGGAAGAGGAAGAGGAGGTGTAGGAGGAGGAGGAGGTGGAGGAGGAAGAGGAGGAGGACGAGCAGGAGGCGGCGGAAGAAGAGGAAAAGGAGGAGGAGGAGGACCAGGAGGAGGACCAGTGTATTCCAGCGCCACGGATCAACCTGACTGTTGCGTCTTGACGATCCTGAATCGCGCCAGAACGCCAATCCTAGGACTGCAACGCAGAGAATCAAAGTAACTGCTGCACCCGCATAATCCAGAATCCTTCCAAAACACCATTTCTGGTACGTTGATGATGGGGACCCGTAAAACTCGTGAAATATGTGTAAGCGAATGTGCATGGCGCTAAGGCGAGAACCACATTTTGAAAGGGAACCGCCCTCACCCCGTGATGCCCTTGCAACTTTTTCAACGAATGTGCAGTGCGCTAAGGCGATAACCACATTTTGGAAACGACCCGTCCTCGATCCGTGAAACTCTTGCAACTTTTTCAAACGAGTGTGCGGCTCTAAATAAAGCGAGGGTCGCATTTTGAAAACGAGCCGCCCTCACTCCGTGAAGCTTTGGCAATCTCTTACAACGAATGTGTGCGGCGCTTAGGCGAGAACCGCATTTTGAAAAGGAACCGCCCTCACTCCGTGAAGCCCTTGCAACTTTTTAAAGCGAATATGGGCGGCGCTAAGACGATAACCGCATTTTGAAAACGAGCCGCCCTCAATCCGTGGAGCTGCTGCAACATATCAAGACGACTTGTGCGCCGCGCTAAAGCGAGGGCCACGTTTTGAAAACGAGCCGCCCTCAATCCGTGAAGCTCTTGTAATCTTCCTGAAACGAATGTGCGCGGCGCTAAATCGAGAGCCACATTTTGAAAACGACCCGCCCTCACTCCGTGAAGCTCTTGCATTTTTTAGAACGAATGTGCGCGGCCCTGAGGCGAGGGTCGCATTTGAAAGCGACTCGCCCTGCATCTGCGAAGCTGTTGTTCCCTTTTAAGCTTCAGGGTCATGCATGGTGAGACAGTGTCTGGCCAAACGCCCGGCCCGCCCCACTGGCCTCGGGGTGCGGCAGGGAGAAGTTATCTACAAGGAAAAAGTACGGAGGGGGAGGAGAAGGAGGAGGAGAAGGCGGTTGAGGAGAAGGAGAAGGACGAGGAAGAGGAAGTGGAAAGGAGGAGGAGGAGGAAGAGGAGGTGGAGGCGGAGGAGGAGGAGGCGGAGGAGGAGGAGGGGTGGAGGAGGAGAGCAGGAATGGGAGGAGGAGAAGGACCAGGATGAGGACGAGGAGAAGGAAGGAGGAGGAGGAGGAAACGGAGGAATAGGACGAGAAGGTGTAGTAGTAGTAGTAGTAGTAGTAGTAGTCGT